GGCAGGGGCAGGCTCGAAGTGGTGAAACACAAATAAACAAGATTTATTCCCATATTTTCAGCGGTGGTTGCTCACGCCTTGTTTTACCATCACCCCAGGCACCCATTCCTGTCTCAGCTGGGTACAGACACACAGACACCAAGGAAGATCCAGAGGCCAGCCCAGGGCTTTGCAAACAGGAGTCACCGTCGCTGCCCTGCAGAACAATCCCTGCAACACTCGAGGCAACAATTAGCAGTTGTCCTTGAGAGCAGAGACATTGTCTCACCCGCGGAGAGGCAGAATTTATAAACTGAATGTGTCCACTCAGAGTCTGCCCGGAGAAGCGATAAAAGCGGCCCCGAGGCTGAGCTGGGCTGGAGCGTTCATTCCAACGGAAGACTGAGCAGCATACTGCTGAGGGTTTTGTTATGCTTTTAATTAACATTTGAAACACATAAGGCATATGGTAACATTAGACAGAGGAGAATTACACAGTATAGTCATGTAAACAGCATTGGCACACTTGCTTTCTGTCCAACTTGGTTACACACACAAAGCGGAATATATTTTTTAAACAAAGGTTTTCCACGTGTCTGTAGGATGAGTATCACTCGTATCACAGCTCTGCAAATCAACACGACTCAGACAGTACAGGCCAGACCGTATGTTGTAAGAGGCTCAGAGTCGAACACGTTTCACCTCACACTCGTGCACCACTTGCCGGTCACGCTTTGCCAGCACCAGGGCTCAGCACACCAGAGGCTTCATGAGGCAACACGAGTGGTTTTACACCCACGATAGCAGCTGGCAGCGGGCCAGGACCCTGTCCCAGTTAAAGCCTGAAGCCCACAGTGCTTCTTACTCTTCCCTCGTCAATCAATTCTAGTTTAATGCAGGTGTCCGAAATGCAATGTACAGCTCCACTCCCCCCCCTCAAAGTGCCGGGCGGGGGTCCTGCCCCCCTGCGCCAGCCCAGGCTGCTGCTGCTCCCTCCGCCGTCAGCGTGCAATGCAAGCCAGCTTGAGAGAAACCAGAGAGTCAAAAACATGACAAAAGCAGCCTGGTGATAGCAAAGGAGTTGCATTTTGTCCAAGACCAGCAGAAGCAGTCTGGGAAGGGGACTGGAGTGATGACACAGGAGCCACCCCCTGGCTGCTCCCCTGCCCCTGAGCTCCTTACTCACACCTTCCACTTGGACCCCTCACGGCACCTTTGGGTCAGACAATCAGTAAAATAAACATTAAATTGCACTTTGATAGCTGGAACGGCACACGCAATATAAGCACAGGAATCTTCCATTTCCTCAATGGCACGACTTTGCCCTGAACAGTTAAGCAACATTGAGGGGAATGATTTTTGTCCTAGGGTCTTTGTTTGGTTTTTACTTTGGTCCTTAGTACACAAACCTGCTGGTTAACTTTATTAAGACACTTGAAGTTGTTTTACCTAGGTTCTATCCTTATTGGCCCATAAAATGTTTGTAAAAAAAAAGTAAAAAAACAAAACCAAAAAACCAACCAACCACCCTAAGCAAAGCGTTGGTCAGTGAGGCAGCGAAGAGCAAAGTTACATTTAATCTTGTTCTTTCTGTAGAAAACAAATGCTACCAAGGGATATAAAACAGCGAGTGCTAAACTCCAGCAGATAGTAACTGCTCAGCACTCCCACCCTTATCGGGGCTCCAGGAATGTGTAGGCAGAGGACACTCGAGCCGCCAGCCAAGGAGAGCCGGGAGCTGCGATTGTTTGCAGAGCCAAGGCTGGGGCAGCAGATAAAGCCTCGCTCGAGGACTGGCCGGAGACAAACAGCTGTCCGGGGGAGAGATGGGCTCCGCAGCAGCTCCTCCGGACCGGGAGCGTGGAACCACCGGGACGGCCCTGGCAAGGCTGGAGCAGATGGGACAGGAGCGTCTCGCTCACGGCCAGACCGCACCACGGTGCCCACTGAACAGAGCTCGCAAGAGGCATAACAGGGTTTGGCAAGACTTTGAAAGGCCAGAAGGGAAAAGGCTCCAGTGACTTCCTAGTCCTTAGCGGCAGGTAGAAGAAGGCACCGAGATACTGTTTGCTATGGCGCACGGCCCGGCAGCGCCTTGGAGGGTCCTGCGGGAGGGTCCCGCGTTCCTCCTTCCCGCTGCACCGGGAGGGACGGGCTGCGAGAGCCTGGCTACGCTGCCCCAGCCAAGGCCACCCGCGTAAGGCACCGAGCACGCGCTTAGCTGAGAGTAAAGCCAGGAGAGGACGTGACTGTGAAACACAATTTGAAAGTTTTCCCCTTTACAAGCGTGCAGAACCTGAGGACGCGCGGGGCTGTGTGCCATCTGAGCACGCTGCTCTTTCGTCAAGGTGAAGTCCAGGTTCTTGGAGGAACAGGTCCAGACTTCCCATTTCAGCAATTTAGACAGTCCTTCTGTGGTCAGACCTGGTAAAGCAGCATCAGACACTGTTGGATTTAATCTAAATTAGCATGGCAGGGCAGGTTGAGAGGAGAAGCAGCAAGATTTTGGATTCAGAAAGGTTAAAAGTTGTGCTTGAGAGTTCCATCAGACTGCGTTCATGAAGTTCACGCCTCAAGTGCAAGAGATGGACTGACCAGGACCTGTGACAGGGCTCCAGCCCGCGGCGGTCACAGGGAGTGGGGTTGGTTTAATACTTAAAGTCAGCCAGGGCAGGTACCCCGGGGGCTGTGCGGATGCATTTCTCAAGGCAGCAGAAGCAGGGACTGAGCCCAAGCACCCGACATAGGAGCTGCACTGACAGGCAGGACCCCGCTGGAGGATGGAGCTGGGGGAGGAAGAAGCCCCGCTCCCCCCTGCCCAGGAGCCCCAGCCCTGCACAGCGCTTGCCTGCTCTCGAGCAGCAGAGGGGCCTCCCCGCCCTGGGCTCGGTGAAGCGGGACTGCTGGTACCAGGGTTTTGCTCCTGGAGCCTGAGCTCCTCCACGATGGGCAGCTATTCCTGGCACCCTCAGTTTGACCTTTTCAAATCCAAAACGAAGCTTGAAAGCCTGCAGCACCTACGGTCCATGACAAAGCCTCAAAGCAAGCACAAAGAGCACCACGGTCAGGCGGGGCTGAAACAGGGTCCAGCGGGACGGGGGGACACCCCCAGGACGTTAAGTGCTCACAGAACTAGGCTTGGGTCTCTGCACAGCTACGTTTCCAAATGCACGGAAGAAAAGAGGAAGAGAAATGGAGTTCTGGTCTGGGAGGAGCAGCTCCTAAACCCTCAGCACTGGGAGAGAGCCCGAGGGTCCCAGGACTTGCAGTTTTGGGGAAGAAGAGTCGAGCCTCGCTGCAGCACTGACCCACGGGCGAGGGCTGGTCTGAGCGGATATCTATCTATGCACTAGCTGGAAGAGAACGGAAAGCACGATCTAAACTGCTCAAGATGCCCAGGCCAAGAGGCTGGACACAGAGCCGGGCAGTTTACCATCCACACCGGTAACCTGGCGACAGCTTTGCTGAGTGGCGTGCCACCAACAGCCAGCCCAGGCTCCCGGGAAGCGGGCTGACAGGAGTGGTTCTCGCAAGTTACCCCCCAAACGGCAACACCTCCCCAGCGCACGGGGCACAGCACAGAGCGAGCATTAACAGGGGATTATTTTGTTCCCATCTTGCTGAAGTCTGATTCAACACTGCAGCTCTTGGAAATACAAACACGAGGGTGAAGTTTAGCTTTGACAATACCAACTTGGAGCCCAACATTAATAAAGCACAGAGCCAACATCAATTGTTCCAGTCATCTGAGACACAGTTGAGTCCTTATGGTCTCTAAAAAAAATCAGACACAGTTTAGATCTCCCTCTACAGTTTGGAATCAGAAAATGGACAGGATCAAGTTAGCTAACTGAAACTTTCCTTCTGTATTCAGACACAGCCCAGCGCAGCCTGTCGGGTTGCTCACCCGCTGCACAGAGAATGACCGCAACTCCAGTGCAAGATGCCATAGACTCCGAAACGCCAGGAGGGTGGTTCACAAGGCAAAGACAACACGACCTGTCACTATCTGAGGGGTGTTAGAGGCCTGTGAAAGGGAAAGA